CCCCCCCTCATTCCTTGCCGGCAACTGTATTTGTCTCAAACCAAGTAGGAAACTGAGAGGAAATTAAGAAGAACAGTAGAAAGACTAAAAACGAATGAAAAACTTTGATGCTTTGATGCTATTCCAAAACAGACTGATATTCTTAGCCGAACTTTTGATTCATTTGCTTTACAAATTGCGCTGTGCAAAAAAATAATCAAATCAGACTGTAGTTTCGTAGTACATGGAGTCAGAAGACAAGACATCAAATATTTCTTTCAAAAGGATTAAAAAAGCGAAACAAATTTAGCGTTAAAAAACAAACACGAAAAGGAACGCTGGGTTATTCAGTTCAGTTTTACATTGAAGAAAGACCACGTTCATTGACCGTTACTGGCGAGAATACATTACTATTTGATAGAAAATAATCAATTTGCTGAAATTCCTCCTTGGGAACCAGAATAATATGACCAAAAATTGTATACGACTGTCAGTACTAGCCAAGTGGTCCAAGCACTGCGTCATAGCGTCAAACTTCTCTCTCTCTCTCTCTCTCTCTCTCTCTCTCTCTCTCTCTCGCTTCCTCGATCCACTGCAACGCTACCCCTCTCGACACCTTGTATTACTTGGACTTTCATCATTGCGTATTTAACATATTACGTTTTCGACTTAAGTGAAACGTATTAGTACGTCTAAATAAACAACTTTTGAAGTAACATTTTTTTGTGGTGGTTTGCTCTGTTTTCTCAGAAGGATGATACATGTCTGGTAAAAGATTTTTATTCACAGTTGGCTGTACCAGGAAAGCTGTCCCCGTGCAACAAGCTAGACAGGGGCGCAGAAAAAATGGCAATGTTAAGCCCAGAGGGATGTTAGGTATGAGTGACATCCTTTGGTGACATCAGTTCAGGCTTCAGCATTACGATTATTCCATTTGTTAGAGAAACAGCCATCTTTACTGTATTCATCCCCTCCTTATTGGGGAGACTGCATTAATAAATATGTATGTTGTAGCATCATGGTAAAATCAGGCGTTCATCGAAATAATGGATCCGAAGAAACCAACATTTTTTCACTCCTTGGTACATTTTGTTTTCTAGGAGGGGGTTGTCAACACATTTCTGAAAAAAAATAAAAATTCAAATGAGTAAAAAAGTAATTTGCAGTTTCCAAGGACCCTTTAGTTATTAAAGTCACTAAACTTTAGCGGCCATTTTCTCGGCAATTTTACCCCTGAAACTAGGCAACCTCCCTCCCCCTCCCCCTCCTTCAATCTAAAAAATCTTGACTTCTGTTCAAGATAAGTGGGCATTTCTTCATCAGTAGCAAAACAAATGGACAAACTTAAAAAAAAAATACTAATAACTCCACATGCCCCAAAACTTACAAGCGCCTGCATTCCACCGTATTGTGGCACAATTGTTTTGTGCTTTCTGCCTTCATCGACACATGTAGATCACCCATGAGGTGCGCTGCTTCTGCCCTCTCTGTTGGGGTCAACCGACATCAGCTTTGTAGGATGCTTCATCCGAGCTACAAAAGGTTGATACTTGAACATATGTTCACCCTAGCTGGAATCGAACTCCTGTCTTTAGCATGCAAGCGGAAAGGTATATCCATCGCGTCTTTATCATACAAGGCGAAGGGGGCATCTATCGTGTATTTAGCATGCAGGGCCAAGGGGGCATCTATCGCGTATTTAGCCTTCACGGCCAAGGGCATATCAATTGTGTCTTTATCATGCACGACGAAGGAAGCATCCATTACGGCACAGAAACCAATAAGCTCATCTGAGGGGCCGCGGTTTACTTAAAAAATTCAAAGCGACCAAACTTTAAAAGCAAACAAACTCATTTCTGATGGTTGATTGCTGGGGTGTGTCTGAGAAAGACATATTTTCGCAGTTCTTGTTGTTTTTGCTGTTGTTGTTGTTGTTGTGTTGTTGTTGTTGTTGTTAATGTATTTGTATGTGGTACTGTTCGTTCTTAGATTAGACCAAACATACTGTGTTGCTAGTTTAGCATATGTCTCAAACTCTGAAGGCTTTGCGACAAAGCATTATCACCAACATTTCGGACTTAGTACTTTCGAAACGTTGAAGAAAATCACGTTTAAACAAAGTATGCCACAAGGGCAATGGGCGTACATGGCAAAAGTAAGCTACTGGAGATTCCGAAATCAAACAAAATAAAAAACAATTCCGTATGGTTGCCCCTCCCGCCACCCACCCAAAAAAATTATTTACCGACACCCCCATCCTCTCCCGACCCCCCCTTCTTTTCCGAACCCCCCCCCCCCCCCCCCCTCGACCCCTCCTTCCACTGCAATGCTCGGAAACGTCTGTTTATTTTATTTTATTTTCTGTTTTGTTTATATGATCTGTATGAGGATACGTCGGCATGGTGACAGCTGTTTGAAGTAGACAGCACTAGACTGATAACGAAAACTCAAAGAACATTTATTTGTTTCCAAACGTTGCCATGGTGGCTGGCAGCCGTGTAACGTTTTACAAGTCCTCTTTGGACTTCTGTATTTGAATGCCAAGTGCCAGCTGAGGTAAGTAGGAATATGTTTCCTGAATGTTTTGTGATAGATAAAAAAAAAAAAATCATACACATACCTTCCATTACGTGCACGAAGTTACCCTTCAATTCAGGTTTCTCAATTCAGGTAAACCTTTCTATTGTGTTACATTATTCTTATTTTAAAATAATTTGTCTCTGGGTTTTGTTATTTTATTTCATTTTTATTTATTTATTTACTTATTTATTCATTCTTTCTTTCTTTTTTTTTTTGGGGGGGGGGGGGTGCTTTGTTTTTTTATTATTAAAATGCCCGTATTTTGTCGGGTAATTTGTCGGCAAAACCGTACCCTCCCCCTCCCCCTTTGTTTTATTCTCGTTTACTTTACTTTATTTTAAAAATTAAATTGTGTTTTATTTTACTTCAAAAGATTGATTTAGCTTAATTTAACTGAGTCTATTATTATTCTTATGTTAATTTTTTTTATTCCAAAGCATAAATTCTAGTGGAACGGTAGGCTTTTTCAGATTATCGTGATAAATGCTTCCAATTACTGTCCAAGAAAATAAAGTTTGTCTCGTCGTGTTTTCGCTATTGTTGTACGCTTATTTATAAAAAAAAATATGAGAGAAATGATAAAATAATGTGTTTCTGGGTTTTGTTGTTCGTTATTTTTTATTTTTTGGGGTTTGTTTGTTGTTTTTATTTAAACTGTCTTTAAAAAAATCTAGTTTCCAGTTTTGCCTTTTGTTTTTGTTTGTATAGTTGCATATTGTAGAATGTTTGTTTTTGCCTTTTGTTTTTGTTTTGTTTATTTGTTGTTTTCTCAGGAAAAGGATTTTTTGGGGATAAGGAGTGGGGTGTCCTGTTCATTTAGCAATTTGACTGTATGGAAAGCGCCATTAATAATTTCATACCTTAGCCATGCTATAACAGAACGCAGGCCCGCTAGACCCCCTTTCCAGTTGTAAACGAATCTTTTACATTGTTTTTTCTATTAATCTTTGTAGTTCCCCAGAGGTTATAAAAGACTGTTCCAGTCACAAGAGGAGTTAGTAAACATGTTAACAAGCATATACTATGCATATATCCATAATATTATACATGTAGATATTGATTTACTAGAGAGAGAGAGAGAGAGAGAGAGAGAGAGAGAGAGAGAGAGAGAGAGAGAGAGAGAGAGAGAGAGGAGCGAGGTATCATTAACGGACTCAGACACTCGGACGCACGCAGACACTAGCTAATGTTAAATAATTAGTTTAAATAGTACACGCTTTTTATGTAGTAGGAAAAGCATATTCACGCGACTGGCAATGTGCTTCTTTCTCTCCTTCGACCTTATCTTAAATCACAGCGAAACATAAGCTAGATATCCATTATACAAACTGCACTTGTGAAACAAAACATTTGCTGGATGTATGCACTACAATAAGTGGTATAGTCGTCAATGTAGCAGTAGCAGTAGCAGCGATGGGTTGTGGTAAAATACTTCATAAATCAGAATATGGATGACGGGGCTAATCCTGCCTGGTGGACACACGAAAAGACAGACTCACGTTCTCCCTCCTTCTCTCTCTCTCTCTCTCTCTGTGTGTCTTTCTCTCTCTCTCACTTTTTTCTCTCTCTCTTTCTCTCTCTCTCTCTCTCTCTCT